CTACCCAGGTGGTAGGACTGGGAAAGCCCCTTCTCAGTCCCTTTTTTCTTATTTTGCATCTATGTAACCTTGTTCTTACCAAAGGTATTCTAACACAGAAATAGCCAGTATGTGCAGCCTGGTCTACATAGAAAGTCCAAGCCAGCCAAGACTATATAGCAAAATACTCTCAAAACACCAAGAGAGACAGAGACAGAAACAGAGGGGAGAAAAGAAGGAAAGGCAGAAACTAAAAGGAAAGGAAAGAAAAGGAAAAGAAATAGCTAATGTGTAGATTCTTAATTGGGTAGATTTTTGGTCACATGCCCAGAATGAAGTTGATGATCCCCTCCAGGATCAGGAAGGAATTTTCCTCCTCTGGCAAACTGGCCCAGGCTGGGTGGTTTGCTTCTTCGCCTCTCTGTGGTGGTTCAGGCCATGGACACAACACCTGTTACTGCTGCCATCAGTTTGTGCTTGGGAAAGAAGCCGACAGGCCTGGCTCTCTGACTGGGTAGACCCTGTGTGCACACGTGGTATGTGAGCCGGCTCTGAGAGGGTGTTGGAAGCTGCTGGAGGCATCTGGGGACCTCAGTTCCAGACCAGCCCTGTCTCACTCCAAAGGTACCTATAATCAGCCTTCTTACCAATAGAGGAGAATTTGCCTGACTCCACAACCTTGTGTTAATCACACTGGAATTTTTTCCTACTTATGAGGCAGCCAAAGTGGTAACTACCTTGGGGAAATTGATTCCATCTGCTGTGGGTTTGTTGGAGGTAAGGGAGTAAGGGTTCAGAAGGTTTAATGTGCCTGACTAGCCTGGGAAAAATCTGTCCAGCTATCATGAGATTCCTACACTGGCTGAGATGGAAGAGGAAAGGAGAAAGGGAATCAGAGGGCTTTTCAGAGCTACAAGTTTAATCTGTGGTAGTACTGGTTGGATTTTGCTCCAGTTTGGTGAGTTTGCCTGACCAAAGTTTGCAAATGTCATCAGTGTATCTGTATGCACAGGTTTGGAAGCATTGGCCGAATCAGGTGGGCACTTACAGACAATCACAGAGCCAGGAGTCCGTGAGTGGGCTCTCAGTGTCCCGAGACACTGAGGTGAAGAACTGAGGTTAGGAGAGGCGCAGGAGGCAGCATCGTGACTCCAAGTTACGGACTCTTTCTGCACTAAGCCGGTCAGGCCCTTAAAACTTCAAGTATGGCTAGACGAACAGGCCAAGAAACCTTCTATCATCCCTTTCTGTCATGATCTAATCCAGGGCTTCTCTGCCTTATTTTCATTATTGCCCTCCTTCTAAGAGGCTTGTTACCACCACTCCCGTTGAGAATGTCTGGGCTAACCCCAGGCCTGGGCTTACGTATTGCCAGTCAAGGATCCTCAACAAGAAGAGAGCCCCACACTGCTGCTCCCTCCCACCCTCCCTCTACCTACATTAAAGAAATAGTTAACAGCCAAAATGCTCGATGATTGCAAGGACCTTCCAAGTCCTAAAGAAAGGGCACTGCTGACTACAAAGCAGCCATTATTCCTGAACTCGAACACCTAGCACACGCTGGCTAAGTGGCTGTGGCCTTTTGTGGTGAACACAGACTTAATAACGCCTCCTCTTGCTGCAATAGCAAGACAAAAAAAGAAAGAAAAAAGGAAAGAAAAAAAAACTTTCATTGCTTTCATAAAAGACACTTTTTCCCCAAAGAGCAAGAAATAATTACAAAGGAAAATAGCATGCTATACACCCTAGAGAGCTCTTTAAGCAAACCTAATGGGTATAATTTGCCAGAGAAGAAATTATCAAAGGGAATCAAATCTGGTGTTGTGTACAGCACTGACGGGATTACAGATCAAGGGAGTGGGCTGGTGTAGAATGAGGGAGTCCTTAAAGGAAGTAAACACCCTATTGTCAAAAATATTCCTAATCTTTATGAGATCTGGTTCAATTTACCAAATAACTTTCTTGTTAAATACAAAATGTGTTATATTTGTTGGGCACGGATGAGAAAGGTCTCATTCAAAGTCGTGGTCTAGTTTCGTATTTGCAGGCTGCCCTATTGACACTGAAGGCCTGAGGACTGTGTTCTGTTGCCCTCCATTTGGAGTCCACTCCTTTTTCTAAATTCAGTGCAGGTTATGTCACAGAGCTGCCCTGTTTATCTAGTGTTCTGAGCATCTGGCCCAGAGAGGGTGAGGAACTTTTCATCCTTAGCTAGCATAGGAATTTTTCAGAAGTCCAGTTGAGAAAAGCTAAGTGGCTTTGGGCTCCCCCCTCACAGCCTCTCACCCCACCCTTTTTCATACTACCCCATGACAACCCTACACACCCCAACTCCCTCAAGATATAAGCTGGCCAATCCATGGGAAAATCAGAGCCCAAACCCAGGCAGCCTTGACTTCTTATTGATAAGATCCCAGGGGAGATCCATAGTGGTGATAACTACTGGTTCCATTAACCCTATCCAGGTATCGAGAAAAAGGCTTCCTAGATTGGGGCCTGGGGAATGCATGGGTGCTGGCCCAGAAAGGGTGTCCAAGAGTAAGGAACCCAAACTCTGTTTTTTATTTATATCTGGAGCACAGTTCTTCTACATATTGACTGGTGATCCTGATGGTAGATTTACAAGTTTCTCTAAAGAATCCCTGTGCTTCTTAGTATCCCAATGTAACTGTGCCTGGGACCCTGCTATGCCTTTAGATAGGAAAGCAAACGAACGGCTTGGGAAACTTAGGACCCCCCTCCAGCTTAACATTGCGGGCCCGTCCTTGGCTGTGTGACCTTGAGCAAGTGACACAGACCTCTGAGCCTCACTTTCTTCCCTGTACAGTGGAAGAGTGAGGGATGAGGCAAACAGTATTTCCCAGGCCTGGTACCTCAGCACTGCAGGCCTAGGAGATGGGGTTGGCAAAACCCCTCAAAGGGCCAAGTAGCAACTCTTTTATGATTTGCTGCCAAAAGACAAAATTAAGGCTGCTGGGTAAATACGGATTTCAAAATCTAAAAGCATTTCTGGCTTCGGGGTGAATAAAGAAAGGAGGTGTGAACTGGACTGGCATCCGGTTAAACATTACAAACTCCTAGTTTCGGTGGTGTGTGGATGACCCATTTCTACTGAAGGGTTGTATATTCATTTTGTGTAAGTTAAAAGAATTTAGCTTTCCATTTACAGGGGTGATATAAAGCTTTCCTTTTAAAGAGACCTATTCATGTTAAAACAAAAAAGGATGGTTGTTAAAAATACTTTAATTGTGTTGGAGAAGCATGTGGATTGAGTACAATTATCATGGTGGCAGGCAAGTGACCATAGTTTGGGGGGCACTGGACTAGATGGTAGAGAAGCATCCACCTTTAAATTTGAACTTCTGATATCCCTGGATCTGGATTCTCATCTTTGCCCTGGCATTTTCCAGTACTGTGATTTTGAGCTGCTGTGTCGCCCTGTGGATGGGAGTAGAACTGGTTTATCGTAGTGACTGTAACTGGGAAATTTAAGAAAAAGAAGTGAATAGATTCCTTTTTAATCTTCCAAAGTTGATTTTTTCCAAATTGTGGGAATGTGAATGTAGCAAAGAAGTAGCATTTGGGCCTAGGGGAAGCAGCATAGATAAGTACAGACATGGACAAGAACATACTGCAGTGGAACCATGGGTTCACTCTCTTCTGCCCTCCTTCCAATCTCAATCAGACACCCTCTTTGAGCTCCTCTTCAACCTCCATAATGTATCTGGGGTGCAGAGGACAGCAGTTAGGATCAAGAACTTTTAAAGCAGACCAAGCAACCTGAGCTGCTACCCAAACTCCATCACATGCCAGCTGGGTGGTCTGGCACTTGCTACCTGGAATCCCAGCACCACATGTCTTCCTCTGTAAAGCAACCATATCCAGTACCTTTCAGAGTGGTTGCTCCGAGAAAACCATGAGCAACAAAACAAGTATCAGAGGTCCCAGCATAGGTCCCCAAGTGCCATGTTCACAGCACACTCTCTACACGCCTGGAGCAGATTGGGCCACCACATTCAGAATTCTTCAGTGTTAGAAAGGAAATGTAGTGTGTATCCTGCACAATACAGAACACCCATGAGGGTCCAGGATTGCTCCAGCACGTTAATATCTCCGCAGTGCATCGTGTGGCTATTCACTGAATACAATAAATAAATCTAACTCCTATAGCATAATTATGTGTGTGTGTGTGCATATGTACATCTAACACATATAAAGCTATACAACCTCAGTTCAGGATTGCTCCTCTTGGGAGATAAGATTGTGGCAAACACACATACAAGCATACACACACACACACACACACACACACACATACACACA